GGTGAGAGAAGAGTGGGTCAATCTAACTTCAGTTTTGCAAGTTACTTTGATGAAACAGTTTATGATTTTATGATGACGACAAAACAAAAGTTAAGCGTAGACGGACTGCTTTTTCCAGCATTTTCGTCATTTCAAACCCTAAATGACGCCCGAAAACGAATTGCAGATATTGTAAATTTACCTACGAGGAAAGATGACATTTTTGTTATTGGCTATCCAAAATCAGGTACGTTTTTATTAATTAACATTTTTAAATAACAGACGAGATTTTACTGATACAAAAAATGTATAACTATGGATACAAAATACATTCTGAATTTCGGGAGTTTCGGGAAAATATTATTTTAAAATATGAGTACATAAATATTTTTTTTTTGTAAATTTGAAATGCGTTTTAGTTTAAAAATAAAACACATTTTCTTATTATTAATCTACTTGTGTAAGTGGATACACTTCTGTAGATTGGGTATCGAACAACTGGAAAAAGATCAAAGAAATACATGTAGTTTCTTTATGTGGCCGAATATGTACCTTGCAATGAAAAAATATGTCTTAACTTTTGATTTGCAATTTAATAAATAATGCCATGGATCTCTATCTTTCTAATCCATGCGTAAAAGAATCATTTGATAAGTTGACAATAGGATATTGCATTCTATGATAAAATATTTGTTAATGAATTTCTCTTGTACATACATCAAACTTGGGGAAGGGGGGGGGGGTAGTAAAAAGAGCGGAAGATGTCAATATTCAGTCCACAGTTTAAGAGCTATGTTTGCAAAGTCTGACCTTCAGCATGACACTTTAGATTGAAAAATGAATATTGAATTTTTGAATGGACTTTAGAGCTGGAATACTGTTCTTTATCCCCATATTTCATATAGAGGAAAAGTCGAAAGTGATTTTGATTAACTTTAAGAACTTAGTACTATATATAGCACCCGCAAATTTTTTCTTGACAATTCTATCGTGTGCATTTCCTGTAGTATCGTGCGTGTATCTTATCAAGTTTTCCGTTTATCGTATCGTATATTGCGTTTATCAGGTTTTGCGTTTATCAGATTTTCCGCTTATCGTGTGCATTTAGAAGGCATTTTATTTTACCACCCTTTTCACGAAAAAGATCGAGGTATTCCTATCTACATAAATTGTGGATTTAGAAAAAGAAAAACAGTAATCCACATTGTAAAAAAAAAAAAAAGGATAGACGGAAAGCACGATAAATGTAAAGTTTTCAGTATGTCCACATATCGTTCCATCAACATTTTGTTCAAATTATTAGAGTTCGCTCCGTGACTGGAAGGTCATGGGTTCGAACCTCGGCCGCGACTTACCTAAGTCGATAAAAATAGGTAGCAACTATTCCAAGCGCTCGGCACTATGAAGTGAAAGTTGCGGGTCTTTCGTATGAGACCTTAAGAACTAGGCCCCGGGTCATGACAAAAATTGGCACGATAAAAAACCCTCCTGTTCAATGGCCCTGAATGCAGAGTAAAGGTCTAAATTTGAAGACCTTCACCGGCAAATCGTGACTTTTCGATATGAGTGAAAAATTCTCGAATTTGGACGTAAAACAACATACAATCAATCAATCAAATGAAAGAGGGATTATTTACTGAAAAAATAGTTAAAGTTTTCACAAGCGATGGTATAAAAATAAAACTTATTAGAGATGCTATAGTTCGATAGTTGTTTTGATGCTTTATATATATATTTATTTTGTTTACAATAAATAATTGATGGAATAAGAATAATTAAGAACAGTGTTTATTGTTATGCCAAAGATTGCTTTTATCCCAGGAAGAAAAAATGTTACAATAAATTTACGACAAATTTGATGAAATAATGAATAAGGAAACTTGGTTTTATTTACATTTTAAAGTTCTAATGATACCCTTAAGCTTTTAAAAAGAACTCTCACCACTCCCTCCCCTAACCCGGAAAAAATCTCACTAGGCAACTAAAAAAGACGTAAAAGGAGGGCTGTTATATGAAAATATTGAGTAAATTAAGTTTTAATGTTAAAACTCTATTTCCTTATAACAATCTGTAAAGGTCTGCTCCTCGGTAGAGATCATTAAAATTTTTACACTATATATATATATATATATATATTTTAAAAAGTTACATGTAGTAATTTCATGAATTTATCTGGCCTTAATTTGTCGTGCATAGTCTCCTTAAAAGTCGTATTTACGCTTTTGATTCTTAATTTTTGGATGAGAAAGCATAATGTCTGTCCATAAACATTTTTAAAAACTGCTCCTGCTTTAGTTTTGGTCTAAAAAATTACTAAAAATTCGCCGCATTATATCGCCTGACGTCTCCGTTTTTGACAATATCCAGCTAATAGTGTTTGTGCATATAACGTCATATTTTTCTTATTTATAATGTCAGAGTATTGATTTTTTACACACGAGAGCTCTAATTTTGGTCACATTATATTTCCGTATAATCTGACATAATAAAGAAAACATCGCTGTCAACGCAATTTTTGAAAGCCAAGAAATTACCGTGCGCCGACCACCGATATTTAACACCCTTTCAATGTTCTTTCTAAATGCATATGACATAACAACCTTAAATTATTTAGCCAAAATGACGTAAATATTATTTCCCAACATTGTTTTAAAAATGAATAATTTTGGTAGTTTATGAAATATTTAAAATGTTCGCGTTCTTCTGGGACAACCCTCGTATGTGGTTTAACTTATTTCACTTATACAAACATGACTTGTGTTCTTTTTTCACGAATTATAAAAAAAGTGTATCATTTCTGCTCTATTAATATTAAGGCCTATCTAAACTGGAAAAAATAACAGAAGGAGACGTGATTTGTTTTTATTAAATAACAAGCAGGTACATGTATTTGAGTCGCTTACACCAGCATTGCAGCTATTAAACATACACACAAGTCCAGTCCAGCGAATGCCAAGAAGAAAAATGATTATTCAAACTAAACGATGTCCTTTATTTTGGAGAAAACAAATGTATACATATTGCACGATTCTCATACCCTGTTAATGAGGTGGAAAATATGTATGCATTTCTACTGGTAATAAAGCTATGTTTAGAAAACGGGAAATAATAACGAATTTATTACTTCTGCTTAATATACACATGTAAATCCAATGTAGTAATGGAACACATAAAAATTAGTAAAATTAGTAACAAGTCTTCTATCAGTATGCTTACATATTATCAAAGAGAAAAAGAAATACATTGAATTAATAAGTAATGAATAATGAATACATACACGTGCTTGTCGCTCGCGTGGCGCAGTGGTTAGAGCGTTCGCTCTAGAGTCGGGGAGTAAGGAGTTGATCCTTACGTCGCAGGTTCGAATCCCACTGTGGGACGTGGAGACCGGTCCTTCGGATGAGACCGTAAACCGAGGTCCCGTGTCATAGTAGGTGCTGGCACGAAAAAGATCCCTCACTGCTCAATGCCCGTAAGTGCCGAGTATAGGTTAAAATTTGTAGCTCTCCACCGGCAAGTGGTGGCGTCTCCATATGAGTGAAAAATTCTCGAGAGGGACGTTAAACAATAAACAAACAAACATACATACATACATGTGCTTACATAAATAATATTTATTAACGAAATAAAAAAAGAAAGTTAATCAAGATACATATAATATTTCGTTTTGTAAAACACTTATCTCTACTTTAATTTACCAATCATATATCCTATCAAGTTTTACGTTTCTCAGGTATCGTGTTTACCGTAATTTGCGTTTATCAGATTTTGTGTTTATTGGGTTTTGAGTTTATAGTGAAAACCGTTAATCCTGTCGTACGTATACCCTAGGTGAACTCTGTTGCATCGTGCATGTATCCTATCGTATGGTGTGTGTATGTAATAAGGAGATGACAAACAGTAATCAAGCTCAAAAGTCCTTGAAGCAATACAAATCGGGAGCAGTCTCCACTTGCCGGTGGAGAGCTGCAAATTTTGACCTTTACTCGGCAATCAGGTCCATTGAGCAGTGGGGGGATCTTTTTCGTGCCAGCAACTACTGCGACACGGTTTATACGGTCTCATCCGAAGGACCGGTCTCCACGTTCCACAGTGGGATAAATGTCGAGTTGAAGGCCATGGCAAGTGTTTTCTTCTTCTCAGTATGTTTTTGAATAAATTCCGCTTCATATAAATACAAAAATAGGTCTGCTAATAACTGGGTGCAATTAGTACCCATGGGAAACCTTATAGATTGTTGGAAGACCTGATATCCAAAAACTACATAGATATCGTCAATCAGAAACTCAAGAACATTTTTAATATCTACATCAGAATACTTTTGTGTACAATCAGAATACTTTTTAATAAAATGATTTTGCAAATGAGCAATGACAAGGTAAGTAAATCTACGCGTTCCATTTTTATTGAAAAAGCCGCTGTTTATGATGTAAAAAAAAACCTGGACTTTAAAATTTTTGTATCCTATCCTATCGTATATTATGTGAAGAATAACGTTGCGGGTACTATATTAGCAATTCAGTAAAAGTAGGAGATACTCATACAGGTACAATTATTTTCCTTCTGACGACTTCATTTTTGATTGGTTGTATTGAAAGATACAAAAGAGTTATGTAATTGAATAAAAAGAGAAGAAAAATGAAAACGATAAAAAAATATTTGATGTTGAAAGTACAATAAAATATAATTGTAATTAATGGTATTGGCAAAATTATGCAATTTTGAGAGGCCCGAAAATGCAATGAATCTATATGCTCCATTTAATATAATAGCACTGTCTTCTAGTTAATGGAAAGGAAAAGATGATTTAACAAAGAATATCATTACATTTATAATTTTTTTTATTTTATTCTATGCTTTATGATGATTTTGGGTGTGTGTAGGGGGAATGAAATTGAACATCATGATAGTACTTCATTTATTTTCAAAAAGGACACCATTGGCTGAATGAAATCGTGCCCCGTCTTCAGCATTCATGTCTGGACACATCTCACAAATTGGTAGACACCTTCCTAGAGTATATGCCAGATCTACAGGAATTGGAAAATCTTCCTTCGCCTCGAATACTGACTTCCCATGTCCCAGTTAAATATATTCCAAAGGAAAACAACGGGAAAATTATCCACTGCATTCGTAACCCGAAGGACATTGCAGTGTCTGCTTTTTATCATATCATAGCCGACCCAGTAACTAAAGACTACTGGCTTCCAGATTGGCCAAATTTCTTTGATGATTTCTTAGGTGGGGGTAAGTTGAAGTCATTGTTGTTTTCTGACAAGATCAAGTCGTTATCATTTGACCATTATGATCACAGTTTTGCAATTACTTGCGCTTTGTCCATATATAACCTTGTAGTTTCAATATGCTCCAAAAACAAAGATACTAAGAATGGATGAATAGATTACCTGAGAAATTATAAATGTCATAGAATTCTTTGTTGAGATAGTAGCATTCATTTAATGTTTTATTTAAACAGAGAGTTATTATGGAAGTTGGTTTGAACGAGAGAAAGAGTGGGAAGAGGCAGCACGACAAAATCCCGAAAAGATTTTGATTGTTTATTATGAAGATCTTAAGAAAGTATGTTCTACAAGTGACATTCTGTATTTATTTCCCTAAGCTTGCTGTTGAACTTCATGTCGTTTATTCTTCAAAAGATGACGTATGTTTGTTTTAATGTTTACTGTAGAATAGTATGGAGACGATGCGACGAATATCCAATTTTCTTGGAACCTCTGTTTATGATGAATGTACCTTTGAGAAAGTAAAAGAAAGAAAAAAGGATACAAGATGGAGCTTTATCTACCGAAAAGGTTGAAACTAAAATACTCTAAATTTAAAATGAAATAAAAAAAAGTTATAAATCCAGTTGATAAATATGAAATGCATGTGAAGAAAAAGATTCAACCTTTAAGATATGTAGTACACATTCTGAAATATCGTTTTCATACTAATTAAAGGAGAAGTTGGTGATTGGAAATCGATGTTTACTGAGGAACAGAGCAAGAACTTTGATCAGGTCTTCAATGAAGAAATGAAGGACTCAAAATTAAAAATACAATGGGAGTAAATGGTTTTGAACAATATTCAAAGGAATTAATTTGTATATTTATCAATTTTTTTCCTGATATTTAACTTGCTTATGTATACCCTTATTACCAATATTAACAATATATCATATGAAATTATTTGGAAGCATAAATTTTAGTTGTGTGTGACATTTTTGCGACATATGTACTCAGTAAAATGAAGGAAAAAATGTATAAAAAGGAAATATTATATAATTAATTCGAAGTTACTATATAAAGAGTTATGTTCTGCATCAAAGAAATTGTTAATGAGGAACTCCAACATCTTGTAAACTAAGCGTACCTTTTTATAGAATCACAGAAAGAAATTAAGGTAATTTTGTAGATGATTTGTCAGTTAATAAGAAAATTTCTAAGCTATTTTTGTTGAAAAAAGAGTTGTCAATGATGTCAAAAGGACTAGTCCTTAATTTGTCGTGAGGAAGTGTTGTAAAAAATCTTGAAATACATATTTTGATGCCGTTGATAGTGAAAAAATGCTATTTCGAATTCTCTAAAGGTAATGATTTTACATGCACACAGCAGTCTATATACGGTGTTTAGCACAGTGGAGCTCAAACGGTCATTCTATTGTAAAAATTGAATGTTATTCCCCGCTACAACTGGAAACGCAATGCTATATGCTACCCTGTAAGAGTTGAAAGGTGATATGTTGTAGAGTTTTCTTCACCCTGATAAGTACTGTTATCAAATCAGGACATTTATGGTCTAATTTATTGTTTATTCATGCACTGTAAGATATCATGTCAAAAGTATCATTTTATCTAGTAAATGAATTTATATATATATATAACTCCCAAAGACACTAAAAATATGAAATGTTTGATTGCAATGATAATATAATTCTGAAAGATGGTTAAATCTATGTGAATATGTATGAGTTTAGTTTATTGAGGAACACTTCTTTTTCATTGACCAAATATACTCCCTGCAATACAAGAAGCGTTACAACCCGATTTTCAATTAGTTTCATACATGTTACGTTCATATAAAAATGATGATTTATCAAAATCGCTCCTGATACCATCTTTGGTATTTCCAGTTTTTTGCCTGTTTACAATTTGCGTTGTTTGGAAGATTTATCACATGCCGTTAACAAATTTTCAACTTTTTCACGTACAAGATGCAAAAATGGAATCGTCTCGCTACATGTATTTTTTTGTGTACCGTAAACTAAGTCGACTGCGTCAGGAATTACATTTTTAGCAATGACTCGGCATGTAGATTGAATCGCATATGTTTTTGTAGTAGTAATATGTCTGTAAGTTTTAATTAAATATTCTAATTTAAGGAATTTAATCAACAATGAATAAATCATAAACCTCAGTATAAATTAAAGATGAATTCATGCAGAAGAAGGAGCCCATGCGGTGTGATTTACTTGGAAAATTATTATTTACATCCTTGTCATGTTAGTCTCTATCCGTCGGGTATTAAAGATGTGTTGGATTTGTAAATTTATTAAAACATAAAAAGTTCGTACATGTATGGACTGTGGTTGAAACTTCCAACTCGCTTGGAAAAGTCAGTTCATCTACACTTTATGTGTATTTATACAGCTCAAAAAAACTTTTTTTAGTCGAACATGTTTTTATGAACCAATTAAATGCACCTTTCTGAAATGATTTCTTTTTAATTTTGCGATTTTATCATAGTTTTCAAATTCACGATTGATATTTTCTTTTTAGTTGCCAGATCTTTTGCACAATAATAGTCTTAATGTCACTATTCTTGCTACCAATTCAGTTTTCACAGAACGTTTTTGAGTATTCTTCCAAATGAAGTGTTATCCACATTGCATTTTAGGCTATTGGTTTGTTCTTACGAAGGTCTTATTCCTACGTAAATTTTACATGATACCTTTATTTTTTTTATATTGGTTTCTTTTGGGATTGTTTCCCGGTTGTGTTAGTTTTGAAAATGCATTGCGTTTAGAAACTTTCTTTTGCATATCAGGAGAAACTGAAAAAATATTAGTACATGTTTGCTTTTTTGTATTTCCCAGAACACGATCTGTATGTATCATTTAGCAGCGTACCAGAACTCAAAAAACACAAGAAAGACTCTCCTTCTTTTCCCTTGTCCAGGAACAGTATTTATTGAAATACAAAACATCTGGGGTCAAATTAAAAGCAGGCCTTATTCAAAGCCTATCAACAGCTTATGAATCAAAAGGCGCGGAGATGGCAATCTGGCGAGAAATGTGCTAAGTTTAAAAAAAAAAAACTTCATTACATTTTGTTTTTGCCTTTGTTTGGAGAAACATATTAATTTCCAAAATGTGTATTTAATTAGTTCACAAAAGCGTGTTAGGTTTAAGTTTCTTGAGTTGTATATGAAGAAAGCACAGAGAAATTCACAATTTACTTCAGCTTCAACACGGGGTTTAACTCTCAAAAAGTCTCCTTCAGCAATGAATATTATAAATTATGATTCGAGAAAACACGGAACTCTGAAAACAGAGGAGGAATGAGGTGCCACGGGGTGCTGGGAATTACCTGTCTACCGATCCCACCTGTCATATACTCTTTGTCTTGATGGTGTCATTTGAAAATCCGTAGCGTACACAACATAACCTAATTATAAGATATGTGTGAAGACCATCATTCAGCATTCAGCTTAATGATAACGACCTAACAGAAAAATCCTTGCTTTCTAGTCATTGAAAAAAAGAATTCTCCTATTTGTAAAGAATTTTTAAAAAAATCATTTGTGCATCAAAATTTGAAATTTTCATTTCTTATAACCAATTTGGTTGAACATGATGAAAATTAATGCAATTTTGATAAGGAAACCATTGGCTGAATGCTATCGTGCCCCGCCTTCAAAATTCATGTCTGGACACAACTCACAATCTGACAAAAAAATTCCTAGAGTTTTTACAAGATCTATAGGAATAGGATACTGATCCTTCGGCTCAAATAATGACCTCAGTTCTTCCAGTTACATAAATAAAGGAAATTAATGGAAAATTAGCCATTCCATTAGAAACCCTAAATATGTTGCAGTGTCAGCTTTTCCTCTTTTGAGTTGCGACCCAATATAGGCTTCCAGAATGACCCAATTTCTTGGAGGAGTTCTTACGTAAGGGTAATTATAATTCATATTCAAAATTTGTTCTAAACAATTTAAAAATCGATACCTTTTAACCTTGATATTCTTTTTAATTAACTTTATTTTCTTTTGGAAAGAAAAACTTTAACGAATGTCTAATTTCTTATTTGATCATTATTTAGTATTTTTCAGAATTTTTCCAAATGGAGTGTGATGCCATCAATTGTGCTTTATCCATACATCTTGTTTTGGTTTTCAATTTTCTTATTAAAAAAATTAATTTCAATGTAAAAAAAAAAAAAAAGAGTGTGAAGGAATTACGAGTGTTGTATAATTCTTTGATGAGATATGATTGATTGATTGTTTGTTGTTTAATGTCCCGTCGAGAATTTTTTACTCATATAGAGATGTCACCATTTACCTGTGAAGGGCTTCAAATTTAGACCTTTACTTGGCACTCAGGGCCATTGAGCAGTGAGGGTTCTTTATCGTGCCAACGCCTACCGTTACACGGGGCCTCGGTTTTTAAAGTCTCATCCGAAGGACCGGCGACTGCAAAGCGCTTGGCGAAGGAACAGTTGCTACCTAATTTTTATCGACTTAGGTCAGTCGCGGCCGTGATTCGAACACACGACCTCTAGATCACGGAGCGAGCACTCTACCGACTGAGCTACCGTAACGGCTGATGAGATATGTTTCTCACTTTTTAAACAGACAGTTATTACAGAAGTTTGTTCGAACGAAAGAAAGAGTTGGAAGAGGCAGCACGAAAAAAAAAACGTAAAGATATTGATTGTTCATTATGAAGATCTTAAGAAAATATATTCAACATGTGACTTTCTGTATAAAACCCTGAGGCAACGTACTTCCAACTTTGTTGTATCTTCGTCCGATCCTACATTTCTTCAAGAAGTTTATACACAATTTTCTTTTGAATAAGTAATGGAAAGAGAAAAAGAAAGTGTATATAGTTTTATCTACAGAAAAGTTAGAACGTTCAGAGCTTTAAGTTCTGTTGATGCTTTTGTTCTTGAAAATATCAATGTTTCAAAGCTTTCCAAATTGTAGATAAAAGGAAATATTTAATGTTATGGTATATTATGTTTTCATGTTTAGCATTCATTTTAAGGTTTTTAATATCAACTCTATTAAAGTGAACAATTAAGTGGAAATACTACATTAAAAAACTGTTTTGAAAAAATTCTTTTCCTTACCGCAGGAGAGGTTGGTAACTGGAAATCAATGTTTACTGTGGAACAGAATAAGATCTTGACAAGGTCTTCAATTTAAAAATGATTCAAAGTTGAAAACAAAATGGAGCCAAATGTGTAGTAGCAGATTTTTTTATGTTCCGCGAGTCATAAATATTTTCATTGTATTTCAAACCTTAAATATTATGCTTTTTTAATTCCCAAAATCTCAGTAAAAACAAATATTATTAATATGAACATTATACGAAGCATAAAATTAAGGCGA